TTCCTGATGAGTTTTGTTGGTAATATATAGAAAGATTTTGATTTTATGGGTTTATGTTGTACCCTGCTACTCTGCTAAAGTTAATACTTTTTTTTCTATTATACTTGAGTTGATTCTCTGGCATTCTTTAAGGAAATCATTATGTCAAATGTAAAAAGGGATCATTTTGTTTTCTTCTTTGCCTATGCTCAATCTCTCAATTTTTTTTTTTGTCTTATTGCTACAGATAGCATTTCTGGAATATCAAATAATAGTGGGTACAATGTTCATCCTTCCTTTAACCCTAATCTTAACAGAAAGGTCTTTAATATTTCTCCATTACAGAAATGCTAGCTCTTGTTTGTAAACAGATACTATTTACCATATTAAGGAATGATTCACTTATTTGTATGCTTTTCAATTTTTTTAATATTAACTCTCATATTTTATCAAAAGCTTTTTAAAATTTAGTGATATAATCATGTAGCTTTTTTTTTTTAAACCAATTTGGTCAATTGCAGTTATAGTTTTCCTAATACTGAATCAGCCCTGCATTCCCTAGTATAAATCAATTAGGCCACAGTATAATCTTTTTAAATATTGTTGCAACTACTCTGCTAATATATTATTCAGTATTTTTGCACTGATGTTCATTAGGGACACTAATCTAGCACTTTTTTTTTCTGCTTTATATTTCCCTGTTTTAGGATTCAAGAACATATTTATCTCACAGAGCAAGTTTGATTGGATCTTTTCTTTCCTTATTTTTTGCAAACAATTTATGTAATACCAGACTAAACTGTCTTCTGAATATTCAATTGTTTGTTGAATGTCAAGAATAAAATTCACTTATAAATCTATTTGGTATTGGGATTTTTCCTCTCTTTATAAGTTCTTTTAGGGCAGCTAAGTGATGCAATGGATAGAGCACCGGCTCTGAAGTCAGGAGCACCTGAGTTCAAATCCGGCCTCAAACTAAACACATGACACTAGCTGAGTGACCCTGGGCAAATCACTTAAACCCAACTGCCTTAAAAAAAAAAAAAAAAAAGTTCTTTTAGATCTTACTCAATTTTTTTTCCTGAGACAGATATTCAAATTAGTCAGCTCTTATTCTATTTCTCTGGAGATATATATATATCTCAGTAAATATCCATTTCATCTAAGGTACCAGTTTTATTGGTATTAAATAGGCAGTTATGCAAATATTTTATTTTAAATACAATACAAGAGCAAAAGTCTCATGAAATGATGTTTCTTTCCTACTGCCTTTGATGTACAATTGAAAGACACTATATAATGATGAACTGTTTATATTCTAACAGAAGGAGAAGAAACAAATGTCATTTTCAAAATATTAATGTCTTTAATGGATGGAAAGAAAATGAAGCAAGATAGGCAGAGGGCCTCGAGTGGTTTTGTTCTGTTCTGATTATCTCAGGAAAAGGGAATGGGAGGAAAGAGAAATATACTAGGTATTGAAGGAAGAAAGGGAGGGGGGAGAGGCTTTACTGCCTCACATAATAGGAGTGCATGAGATGAAAATTAATAGTCATAACTATGAACCTGGCTAGGATAAACTCACCTATAAAACAAAGGATAGCACAGAAAGGATTAGAAAGCAGAATCTAATAATTGTTGCTTACACAAAAGACAACTGATATTCACAGAGTTAAAACAGCGCAACAACAAAATCTATTAAGCTTTAGTTGAATTCATAAGAGTACAAGTAGCAATCATCATTTCAGACAAGGCAAGGTAAAAGTAGGCATAATAAAAAGAGATAAGCAATAAAATTACATTATAGTTAAAGGCTTTACACAAAGTGAATCAATATGATATACTTATATATACATATAATAACAACTAGCATTCATATAGTGCTTTAAGTGTTGTAAAGCATTTTACATGTTATCTCATTTGATCTTCAAAGCAACCCTATGAGACAGGTGTTATTATTTTCCCCATTTTACAAAGGGGGAAACTGAGATTAGTCGGGTTAAATGACTTGCCTGGGGTCACATAGCTAAAATGTTTGATGCAGTATTCAAACTCAGGTCTTCCTGATTGCAAGTCCAGCACTATGCAATGTTTCACCTAACTGCTTATAGAGTAACATTTAAATATTTAAAGGAAAAGTTAATCAACTGTAGGGAAAAACAGTAAAATTATAATAGTGAAAGGATGTCACTATTCCCCCTTAATGATCTAAGTAAATCTAACATAAATAATAAATTAAAGGCCTGAATATAACTTTAAGAAAGTTATATATGACAGATTATCTTATGATTAATGAATGGAAAGAGAAAAGAGTTTACAGATTTCTCAGTTATGTATGGCACTTTTACAAAAACTGAGGAAGTACTGAGACGTAAAAACCTAATAATGCCAAAAGGCAGAAATATTAAACATACCCTTTACTCCCCTGTGAAGAAAGCATTAAAAATTAATTAGAAAATAAACAATTTGGTCCTAAAGAACTGATGGGTCAAATCAATTTAAGACAGGAAGACCTATTAGACTACCACAATAGTCCAAGCAAGAGGTGATGAAAGCCTGAACTAGGGTAGCAGCTATGTGAATATGCAGTAGATACTACTGGAGGTAGAATCAGTAAGGATCTGATCGATATGTGAATTGAGAGAGAATGAGAAATTATGAGGCTGTGAAGCCAGGTGACTGGTAGAATGGTGATACTATCAACAGAAAACAGGAAGTGTGGAAGAGGTATGGGTTTAGTGAACAAAGATAATGAGTTGTATTAGAGAGCAACTGAAATTAAGTTGTCTACACCAGGTCAAAATATCCAATAATCAGATGGCAACTCAGGACTGCAGCACAGGAGAGACCAGAGCTGATGAATCTGTCAAAAGAGGATACTGAGGTCCCAAGACAGAGCCTGAGAGTCCACCTACATTCAGAGATCAGGATATGGATGATGATCCAACAAAAGGAAAGAGTAGCAGCATAAAAATCCAGAAGAGAGAGAGGGTGGTCAATAGTGACTCATGACACAGAGTTAAAGGAGAAGGACTGAGAAAAGTTCATCATATTTGGTAGTTCACTGGTGAAAGGAGTTACAGTTAAGTGATAACGTAAGAAGTCAAACTGCAAAGGCCTGGGAAGTGAGGAGAAAACAGACAGCTTTTTCAAGGAGTTTGGCTGAAAAAGGGAAGAGTATAATATAGCTTGATAGTCTGAGGGGAGAGCACAGACCATTTCTCTTTCTATAGTCTCTCCCCCAGTGATGTCATCCACTCCTTTGGTTTCAAAAATCACCTCTACTTGATATCTCCCCCAAACATACCTTCAGCCCTAACTTTTCTCCCAAGTAATGAAAATTTCTGACTGGCTACAGAATATATCTACCTGGTCATCACACAGTTAGAAATATAAATTCTTTAACAACATTAACTTTTACCTCATCTACTATGATAACCTCTTAACTGGTCTCCCCACTTCTTAATCTCTTCCCTCTCTAATCTGTACTACATAAAATTGCCAGATTAATTTTCCAAAAGTACAATTCTAATCATATTACATCACTGATCAAAATCTTTCAATGGTCCCTCAATGCCTACTGAACACAAAGTCCAAACTCCTTAGCCTTTCAACCTTGATCTTAGCATTCAAGGTCTTTCACAAACCTGATCCTACTATACCTTTTTCCACGATCATTTCCATCTACTTCTCCTATTCTATAAAAAGGACTAGTAATATTTTAAGGAAGAATAAAAAGCAGTATTTTAAAATATTCTTAGTATTAACTTAGGGCCATATTATATTTATACATTTTTACAACTGATGCCAGAACAAATTCACAACAGCTTCGTGTGCCCAGGCATCTAATTTATAAAAAATTATTGTAATATAACAGAATGCCCAAATTAGTGTTGTGTCCAAAAGGCCCTTATTATAACACGTACATGTGAGGCCTAAAAACCAAGTTACCTCTATAGCCTTTTTCCCTGTTGTTCCCCCAACACGTCTCGTAGCCTCTCTTGCCCGCTTGATCCTGACCATCTCTCAGACCTCAACTGTCCTCCTCCTCCTCACCTTTTAATTAAAATTATATGCATCTTTCAAGGCCTGGCTTAAATGCCAGCTCATATACAAAGCCGCCTTTATTCCTACCAGCTCTTCTAAATACTCACAAAACTGTCTACTACTATTTTTTATTCTTAACTCACATTATATGAAATTCTAAAGTTAACAAAGTAAATTCCCCACAATAATCCTTAAAGGCAGCTATTATCTCACATGCAATTACTATATTCTAAAAGCAAAACAATAAGTATTTATTAAGCACCTGTACAGAGACCATGGTGCTAGGCAATGGGGAAAAACAAGGTTTAGATAAAATATAACCTATGTCCTAAAGGAGTATATCATTTCCTAGGTATCTTGTAACATAGAAGTTTATGTATTATAATTATTTTTATACATAAGTTGTTTTCCCTATTTAACTATTAGAAAGAGACTGAGTCTTATTCATCTTTGTGTCTCCCTGATGCTTACATTTTTATTGAACTGATCATATTATGGCTTGGAATTTTATATGATATAAAAAACTGTCTCGTGAGAATCAAGAATTTAGACGTCACAAAAAGAAATAATTTTCAGGCTGTGGGAGAACCTTTAAAATCATCAAGGACAACCCCTTCAATTTATAAATGATAAAACTTACAGATAGGAAAGTTAAATGCCTTGATCAAGAGTGTGCAGTTAAGGTAGTAGCAAAGTCAAGAACAGAACTTCAAATGTCCTAGCATCTCCAGCAACCTTTCTACTGTACCCCATTTTCTTTCCATAGGTATCATTCACAACTAGCATTCAAAAAACTTTCTCTTTTCAAAGTACATAAACATAATGAAATAATATTTATCAAAATAAGTACCAAATAATTTATCATTGCCATTTGGTTCAACGAAAACAAATTAACTTAACCTCAAAAGTTAAAATTTTTTTAATATTCAGTCTTTGTATCTTAATATAAAATTTAAAAAAAATTTAATACATACCAAAGAGCGCCTCATCTGCATTAATATGTTCATAAAGCAGTCAAAGCTGATCATTCCTTCCTGGCTTGGCAGTAGTTTGTTTTTCTCCATGGTATGTACAACTGCTGATGCACCCAAAGCCATTTCTATCCACTCGAGAAGATACCTTAAAGAACCTCGTTGAGCTGCTAAACCAAGCAACAGCTCAGAAGCTAATCTACGACCTAAAGTATCTGCTCCAGAATTTGGAATAGTTACTCCCTTAAGAAATGTAGTCACTTGTGATAAACAGTCCAAACCCATAGGTGGAATCTTACTTTCATTTGCTAGAGATAATGGTGGCAAAGAGCTCACAACTTCTATTGCAGTATGAATGACATCATTACAAAGATTGAGACCAGGTCCTGAAACAGGCATCATCCAACTCTGCCTTAGTAGTGCAAATAATAAGCTCAGTCCAGTTCGGACACCCATTTCTATAAGGGCATCTGTGCTTGATCGGGGCCGTTCACTAACAGAATGAACGTCTGCTGAACCAGAACTACTCTCTGGCGAATGCTGCTGCTGCTTCACTTTGCCTTTATCATGATATTTATTAGAAAGTGCATAAAAGACACGTTGCAGTACAAGAAGTCGTTTACGAAGTGCTCCAGCAAATGGGGAATCTGAACATACCATCTTGGCCAAAGCCAACTGACTGGTAAGAAGGGCATCCAAATAGTGATCCTGTTCATCACTTGAAAGAGATTCACGTTCAAAATCAGGCAACTGAGGTCCTTTGAGGCACAAAACCTGCTGAGGCAGAAGCACAACTTCCTTATTACTGACCAGTTTAGAATACAAGACAGAAACTCCTTCTCTTGTAGCAATAGATTCACTGTCTTCTGTGATCCAAGAGCTGTTTAAATGTTCAAGCCATTTGAGCTTCACTGGTGGAACCATAGCCGCCATGGTGGTTAACTATCTTGCCATTAATCCTACAACAGAAGAAAATTAATATAGTTAAAAGGCTAAGAAGCATGAAATGCTTTTGTACTGTTATTACACTTTATAAATACACACAAGTACCAAAAGTTTTAGTGTCACACAAACTGCTCCCTCTACAGCGGCTAAATTCATGGCAAAATAAACAGCCTGCTAAAACTAAATCCAGTTCACTCTAGCAACACCTCCAGAATGGCAGCCACAAAAGAGAAAGCTACAGAATTGAGAAGAACTTTTCCCCTACAAGACTCCATCCTTAGATACTGTGAATATAAACCCCCATCTAGTTATGATGGTAATTCTTATTCTTTTTTTTCTTTTAATGCACAAATATTCTCTAGAAAAAGGACTGGGATGATCAAATTTAACAAAGTCTCAGTTCTTAACAAAAATAAAATAGTTCAAGAGTTTTTTAAAAACTGTAAGAAAGGACAAGACAAAAGAAAAGAAATAAATGAAGGTCATTGAAACTTTTGTTTCAAATGCTCAGGCAAGAGCAAAACAAAGTTTAAAAGGAAACAGACAAGCAGGATAGCTTTGAAAGTAACAAACTGAATTTATTATATACTTTTTTTTTAAAAAGCAAGCTATACATAATAGAGATTCAGTTTCACATATAATTCTTTTTCTGTTCTATTCTATACATGGTAATCTCTTTTTGGTATTCATTAAATTCAGAATAAAAAAATTTAAAAAGAAAAAGGAAAAGAAAGGACAATGTTAACTCTCCTCATACCCCTAAGCTCTGAAATTCACTTCCCTGGCTACAGAAAAACCTAGCTAAGGTCCAAATTTGCCATTGATGTATCCTTTCTCTGCCAAACAGTTTGTTTACTACTTCGTTACCCTCATTAGCTATTTTAATCATCTCAAGAAAATAGTAGTTTGTTTTGTTCAAGTTTTTTAAACCTATGTCATTAGACCTGGGAACAAAAGAGTTAAAAGCATCACTGACAAATTCAACAACTACCCTTTTGAAGAGCTAGCAGTACCAATAAATACAACAAAATTACGCAAATAAGAAAAGAAACAGCACGGACACAAATAGTTGATAAATACTAGCCATCTTATGTATATTTGTTGTGATAAATGATTCTGTAGCAAGTTCCTTAAAGAAAATTTCTCTCCAAAGGGAACATTTTTATCATAAATCATAGCATAACTGATTCTACATTCAAAGTTATCTTGAGAGAGAAAAAATGCTTTGAACTCTGAGTTAAGAGGACAGAATACTGATGATCTTTAAAAGTTCACCCTGTTCGAACAACAAAAAAGAAATTTAAAAAGTAAAAAAAGTGCAAAATTACACAAATTTCACTCATCTAGAGATTACTAATGAAACTATATTATGTATGAAAAAGAGATTTTTTTTTTTTTTTACTATACAACATCCTCAACACCTTTATTAACTAAGAGGAATATTGGAAATACTGCACATAGCTTCTGTTTCCAGGAAAGGAAGACACTAGGTCCTCAGCAGCCAAGTATTTATTCCAGTATTCACAACCACCTATCCACTACACACTTAATGGGATGTAATGGGAGGAAAATGGGTTACCACTGATACATAACAAACATCTTAAAGCAAACCTTCCGAAATATTAAATACTAACATATATAGACAGTGTGAATCCACTGTGATTTATACAAAAAAAGCAGCACATTTAACAGTTTTTTTATTGGCCTAACTAGGGATATTACCAGGATGGATTTTATTTAAAACTACTTAGGAAGACTCACTTTAATTCATTTTTTCAACAAAAAGTATACCACTGCTATTCACTATAGTTAACATAGGTTTGGAAAAACAACTTATTAAATACCAATTACGGGCCAGGCACTATGCTAAGGATTCAAAAGAAAAGAAGGAAAAAAAAAACAGTCCCTGTTCTCAAGAAACAGGTGGAGATACATGCAAAACACTATATACAAACAAGATAGACAGATAATGACAAGATAAATTGGAGATAATCTCAGAAGAAAGACATTGGCATTAAGAGCGACAATTAGGAGAACCTTGAAAGAAGCCAGAGAAACCAGAAGGCAGAGCCGGGGAAGGAGAGAATTCCAAGCATGGAGGTAGTCAATGAAAAGTTACTGCAACAGGAGATGAGTTGTTTTGCACAAGTTAGAGTAAGGAGGCCATTGTCACCGGATTTCACAGAATGCAGAGGGGAATAAGGTTTGACAATTAGTCAATAAGCTTTTATTAAAGTGACTATTTCCTACAGGCGAGGCATTGTGTAAGCATAAGAAAATTAGAAGGGTAGGAGGAGGCCAGTTATGAAAGGATTTAAAAGCCAAACAGAAGATTTCACATGCAATCCTAGAGGCAACAGGAAACCACTGGATTTTATTGAAGAGGGAGGAGGTAACATGGATCAGACCTTCAAACTTTGAAAAATAACTCTAGCAGCTGAGTGGAGTGGGGAGAAAACTGAGGCTAAGAAAAACAACTAGAAGGCTATTTTAATAGTCCAGTGAAGAGGTAAGGACCTGCACCAATGTGTGATGTCAGTGTCAGAAGAGAGAAGTATTCAAAGAGATAATGATAAGGTAGAATTGCCAGAATCTGGCAACAGGCTGGATATGAGAGGTTAAGAGACAGTAAGGAATCTAGGACAGCAAGAATGAGTGAGAGGATGAAGGTGCCCTTGATAGTAAGATGGAAGTCAGGTAAAGGGGAGGATTTTAGGGGAAAGATAATGAGTTCAATAAGCATTTATTAAGCACCAGTCACATGTGAGACACTGTACTAGGCACTGAGAACACAAATTTTTTTTAATTGTCCCTCCCCTCAAGCAACAATTATCCCACACAGATGACTAAATACAAGGTAATCTGAGGAGGAAAAAGCACTGTCAGAAAATTAAATGTGAGATCAGTCAACCAACAAATACTTATTGAAAGCCTTTGTCATTCTTTTGTTTTATTTAACAAAGCTAAACAGAACTGATACCCATAAATCCAGTATTAATTTAAAACAATGGTTGATATAGTTAGCATTGTCCTGACCTTCCCCTTCCTATTTATGGATTGCAAGGAAAAGATAAAGTTGGCTATTTTTTTTTCAAAAAAAAAAAAAAAAAGTATATTACTGTAGCTTTATACAACCAAATGATTTCTTGCTTTGAAATGAAATTTCCAAATACATATGTATATACATTTTTTCTACACCTACAGAAATTTGAACTTTGAAAGCTCTGCATTTATAAAGATAAATATAAAATGGCTCTCTATCACTAAAACATAGAAATGACAAGCAGCATGATACAATGAAAAGAGCAATGGATTTTGGAGTTAAAGGACAACCTACTTTTCAAATTCCAGCTCTGCCATTTATTGCCTATATGACATCAAGAGTAAGTTAACCTCATATGCCTCAATTTTCTCATCTGTAAAATAAGAGTGTTGGACTCGATGGTCTCTGGGGGCCCTCCCAAACACTTCAGAAGAACTAATTTTAATGTCACCATATAGGTGACAACAATTCTTCAGCATGTGGTGACTCCTGTTTTTCCATAACAAAAATCACTTGTCAAAGAGCTACTTTCCAACATGCGTTCAGCCCTGCTGAACCTAGCCAAAATAATTTTTCCAGGTTCAGTAAGTATCTACATAATATCTCAATCCAATTTGCAAACTCACTTTTTTATCTAAAAGTAATCTGCATAATGCAGTAATTAGACTGGACTAGGAACTGGAAGACAGTTCACAAACAAACTCCAACCTACATTTCCAGTTTTATCACACATCACTACTTTGGCATGACCTCTACAATCCATTACATTCCATCTCCTCTCTTCATGCCTTTGTATAGCCATACTTCCCAAAGTAGGGGATACCACCCCCTTGGGGTTGCTGGAACAATGAGGGGGCATAGTAGCCTCAGGTGCCATTGGGGAGCACTGAATAAAAATAAGGGTGCAGGAGAAGAATAAGGATGGAAGCAAAGAGAAGAAAATCTTGAAAAACCGTTTGTACACATTTCATCTGCTGCATAACAGAGTTAAAGTCATAGTGATTACATTATTTTCCAAATAAACACACAAAATGTAAGTTATAACCAATCACTGGTCAAGTCTGCCAACAGGTCTTAACAAGCAAGTGTTGGGAAGTCCAGAATGCATCCAGAATGCATGGGCAGGAATATGTGTAATGACTTGGGTACAATACAATACAATACTACACAGTTAAATGACGTGATACTGCATCATCAAAATTTCAATGAAGTTTGAAAACCCCACAAATTTACAATAAATTATTAAAGATGCATCATTTTTTAAAAAATATTTTATATTTTTTTGAAATGATAAAAATTTCAAAAAACAATTAAAGGGTTAAAGAAAGTAAGTTTCCAGAGGGCCACTGAGTAATTTTCTTTTTTTTTAAAGGGGGCAGCCAGCCAAGTAAGTTTAGGAACCTATCATAGGCTATCCTACACATCTGGAATCTACTCTAGCTGTCTGCCCTACCCCTTCCAAAATATCTTCCAAGTTCAAGCCTACAACAGACTTGGTTTCCTGATCTTCCCAGCTGCTTATACCTCCCTTCCCCAACCTATTACCTTACTTTGCATATATTTTACACATACTTATGTCTCTATATTGTTTCCTCTAATAGAATGTAAGCTCCTTTAGGTCAAGAATCGTTTCATTTTTGTCTTTGCATCCCCAGAGATTAAAGGAGTGGCTAGCACGTAAGAGACACTTAATAAACGTGGACTGATTAGCTGTCAGTAATTTAGTGCTTGACCTTGGGTAAATGAACTTATACTCTGTGCCAGTTTCCTCTTCTGTAAAGTAAGTTAAATCAATGATCCCTAATGGATCCTTCCAGCTCTAACTCCTTTGATACTACAATTTTTTTTTTTCAGGCAATTGGGGTTAAGTGACTTGCCCAGGGTCCCACAGCTAGTAAGCGTCAAGTGTTTGGTCTGAGGCCGGATTTGAACTCAGGTCCTCCTGACTTCAGGGCTGGTGCTCTATCCACT